TCTCTATCTCTTTCTCTCTTTCTCTCTTTCTCTCTTTCTCTCTCTCTCCCTCTCTATCTCTCTCTCCCCCTCTCTCCCTCTCTCTCTCTCTCTCTCTCTCTCTCCCTCTCTCTCTCTCTCGCTCTCTCTTGCAAATTGTATGCCCCCTCTTTTCTTGTAATTTTCCTGATAATATGACGTTGCGTTTGTTTGTATCATTTCCACTCTATTGTGAATAATGTGTTGTTCACAGGTCAGTATTGTCTACAGTACGTTTGTAATTGTGTGTCTGCTAGGAATAGAGAAAGTAAGTAAAGATGTATTAACAGTAGGTATGCATGTGTGTTTATGTGCGTGTGTGTGTGAGAGAGAGAGAGGGAAAGAGAGAGACAGACAGACAGACAGACAGACAGACAGAGAGGGAGAGAGAGAGAGAGAGAGAGAGAGAAGAGGGATGGGAAGAAGAGACAGTGAAATAGCCAAAGATGGGAACAAGGAAATAAGAACGGCATAAAAATGAATGTGTGACCACAGAAGTGCGTAGTGTGGGTCGCAGCTGGATAAAGAGGAAGTGCCAAGTGTGAAAAATCAAGAGACTCCAATAACAGCGATGAATTTCTCATCCTTACGTATTTCCTGAGTTTCTGGAAACATGTGAAAACAGCATCAGTTTAACCTTACTGCACGCAACTGTTCTTCGTCCTCATCCTGCTCACTCCCCCCACACCCGCCCACCCAACCACCCACCCACTGACACCCACGGCGGGACGAATGTCTGTAAGCAGCAGTATTGGAATGAGCAGTCTGGACGTGTGTTTGCCAAACAAGCAGAGCGCTAATGAAGCGCCCCCTGTGCTTTATGATTAGCGCCATTGATCGTGGGGATCACCTCATGGCGTGGTGTAGCCGGTGGTAAAGACGGATGAAGAGGCGGAGAACCCTGGCGTCACTGTAGATTAAGGTGTGTGCGCCCTGTGTCCGACTTGTCGAATCCGAAAAGCATACTAGGATCCCCCATGAAATGGAAGAGGATAACTGCATGTCATATTCCGTGTGTGGGGGATTAAATATTGACCGCTTTCGTAAAAAAAAAAGGGCGGCACTTGAGTGCTTGCTTTGTGCCAGTGGTGAATGTTCAGCTATCTGCTACAGCATGGTGCATTCCAAGAAGAAGAACAAGAAGAACAAGAAGAAGAACAAGAACAATAAGGAGGGCGAGAAGAACAAGAAGGTGAAAGGGAAGAAGGACAAGACAAAATAGAAGAGAGGGGGAGGGGAGGGGGAAAGAAGAAGAAGAAGAAGAAGAAGAAGAAGAAGAAGAAGAAGAAGATGAAAAGCGAAGTCCTAACATGGCACCATTCTGCTCTAACATTTCATTGACAGATTGTCTACGGACATCATATTTCACATTTATCTTCGATTTCGACAAAATTGTGTCATGCGCATACCGTTCTATTGGTCATTCTTGTTTAAGAAACATCGTCTGATTCTCGTGTTACGCTCAGTGGTTCATTAGCTGTTATTTCTTTCCGTGCCACCCGTGTAAGTAAATCTAATTATGGTATGGCCTTGGTGCTATAACGATGAGATGTGATATGTTTTGGGAAAATCTAAGCTTTTTTAGTTTTCAGAGTAGCCAGTGGTTTGTTTGGGATTCTTTTAGCATAGCTATGTACAAATTAAAGATGATTTATTGGCACCCCCCCCCT